CCTAAACTCTTCTATGTTTCTACTTAAATACACATTTCAGAGAGAAGGAAGGTGAATTTTTTTTAAAAGTCCAGAAAATTGTGGTTAATTTGAACCACACACATTATTTCCCCTGATATGGTGTCCTGAACTCAGTGAAATTTTTTCCCTTGTCTGTCTTTTTTGAAACAAAAAGCTCTGTTTTAGGGCAGACTTTAACTGGGTTTTACAATTCTTACAGCAGGATTAGGACCTCCTTATTAATTTGCATTTAACACTTGGATCACCTGCATGAAGCAATATTAAGGAATAATCTGTATAATTATAATTTTTGAAATAATTCTCTAGGTTTGACTAAATGGGAAAAATGCTTGACTAGATATTCATCTCTGCAGAAATCAGAACTGCCTGAATTAGACCAATGAATGAACAAAAATATCTTTAAATGCTCTGTACCTGAAAGCTTTCATTCTGTTATTTGGCTGTGCCAAAATGATGCTGTCTGTAGCTGGCTTAATTAAGACGTGTTTCTCAGCCCCATCTCTCAGCTATAGAAAAAGTACTGACTGCTACAGCTGCTCTCATGAGCCACTGGCTCATGCTCTGGGTTGTGCCTTGTCTTACACAACAATACAGAGAAAAAAAACCTAACCAATGTTCCTGTGTAAGCAGTGTTGGCACATCAGGAAACCAGAAACCATGTAATCTAAGAATTTCCTTTAGCTGAAGAAACCACATCTTAAATGATTTTATATGTTTTTAAAACCCCACAAAACTTCAATTAAGTCCTTTCCTTCCTGGGAAATTTGCCCAGCATATATTTTTACTGTGGTGTAAGGCTGCTCGTCAATACAGGTCTTGCCTATTAGCAGATGTCTCTATCTGTGGTTAGTCTTTTATTTAGTATCAGATCCCTGAGGTCTACAGTTAATATTATTTGGAATTTCTGGCTTATTTCTTTCTTTGGTGCTGTTTTTGCCCATGTGGTCCTGTTTTCTTCCATCCTGTGTGAAATGTGGCCTTGGCTGAAGGCAGAGATCAAGGATTTCCTGTATGAGACACAAGTACACTGGTGGGTGTTTCTTTTGACAGTGGTGTAGTCCTTAACAGACCTGCAACCTCAATGCAGTTTGTTCAAGTATGTGATGATATTTTTTCAGACAGAAGACATGCATTTCTCATATGTATTTTCTACTCCCCCCTTTCTACATTTAGTTTATTTTTTCATTCAAATTTATTTTGTGTATTCAGTAATATATTCATTTTGATTTGAAGTCAAATCCCAAAGCCTCTTTTAGAACATAAATGTGCTCAGGAATATTTCTTCAAGAAGCCCATATAAACCTTTAGCATCTATTGGTGACTTGATGTGAGTCCAAAAGGTTTGAACTTAGGTCTCCCTAGAGGTAAAAATACTGTAATTAATTCTCCATGGGTTCTTTGCAGTGGAAGATTTTTACAGATACTAATGAATAAGATCAGAAAATTCCTGACTAAAGTTTGTGAACAAGCTGTCCAGAAATCCATGCATCTTTTGCAGATAATGACTGGTACCTCTGCCATGTGACACTCTTTGCCCCAGAAGATGAACTCCTGTCCTGGGGCATGTACCCATACCCCTACCTGGCACGTGTGGATCCAGATGCACGAAAGGGCACTCTCATCTACCAGCTTGTCGCACATCACAGTAACAATGAAAATGCCAGTGCTGGGATAACTTACACACTCATTGCAGGTAGGTCTACTCTGAAGAAAAAGGTAAAATTCTGTTAAGTTGCAGATGTTTCTTAGCAAGTTCCCATTTTACAATTTAATTGATAGATTTTTCCCTTGGGGAATCCTTAAAGATAGAGTAGGTACAGAAAGTAGAAGCTGCAAGTGCTTTAAGTAAGAGTTACATGGATGGGAATCTTTCTTGTTGCCATTTTCTTTGCTTTACTTGTATTTTTAAATTGATTGCAGCCTTACTGTTAGCTTAAGGCTTCATTTCTTACATGTTCTTGTCTCTTTTACACTGCACTGGTCACCAGAACACAGTGTGGGTGACAGATAAGGTACACAACTGGAGAGGAAAAAAGAAATGCATGCAGGGACACAGGCAGATGATTTGAGGATAGCTTACCTTAAAATGGTGAAGATGGAAATGTTCTTACTGTGGGGCATTTCTCAGACCAGCTTTGTAAATGTATTGACAGGCGGTGAAGAACGATTCCAAGTGGATAAGGGTACTGGCATCATCATGACAACTGGCTTGCCATTGGCGTGGAACAAGGAGTATGTGGTTACTGTGGAAGCCACCGATGAGTACGGCAACAAAAGCCCCTATGCCTCCATTTCTATCCTGGCAGGCTCCCGACCTCCGCAGTTCACTAACATGTCCTACAGTGTGTTTGTGCCTGAAAATACTCCAGCAGGAGAAAAGTAAGTTGTACTTTGTTAGGTGAGCTCCCTCCCTGCAATCTGAGAGGAGCTTCAATTTAGAGAGAGCACAGTAGAGTGAAACTTGTAGTTTTGCTACTCAGGGCTACAAGTATGCATTTGCCTATTACACTTTTGAAATAACATTCTGTTTTCTAAAAGAAGTTATGCCTGATCTGGTGTTCCAGAGTCTCCAGTGTGGAACATGGGATGTAGTCTGGGATGCTGGAATTATTTTAATGTTTCTGGGGTCTTAGCACATTGCATTGTGAATTAGAACAGCCAACCTACTGGCTATCCATCTCCTGGAGATATAAATGAATGCTCGAAAAGTAGACTTTTGATTAACTAGATTTGGAGTTGTTCGTGTCCCATTTGACTTAAATTTTTAGAAAGACAAGTTGTTGCCAGACTCTTGAGATAACAGCACCAGTGTGAAGTGCAAATAGATAAAGCTGAGTCTTCAAGGGGCTCTGCTGTTGCGTGAAGAGTAGCTAAGCCAGTTCACAGTGGGGAGGTGCTCCTGAGCTGGCTCTGGCTTTATTGTCACTATTCAGCTGCTTGAGAGCAGAATGGGCTTTAAGGCACCAAGTAGCAGGTGGAGCAGTGCCATAGGGCCTTTAAGGAGTAGAAAACCTCAAAATAAGCTGATGAAGTAGGAAAAATTGCTGGAGATGCCCCACTTAGTCCTTAAAAGGGACTGAATGGGGAGGAGGAGGGAAATTTTTCTCCTTCTCTGGAGCTTCCAGTGAGATGAGCTGAAAGTGTATTGTCATGATGGTCAGAGACTGGTGTGAGAGATGGAACTTCAAAACCTAAGTCACTTTATGGAGGCAAACATATCTTTCATGTCCTGCCAAGGTGGACAGCAGGATCTGAAAAGCTCTGTGCTTCATGGGTTTCCCATCCATCTCTGAACCTGTTCCTTTTCTGAATATACAACTTCAGAAAAACTCAGAAGTATAGTAGGTCACTTATCTCTGAAACTGAAGGTAAATTAGTTACTACTGTCAAGTATTTAGAAGGATACAATAGGAAAGAAAAAGATGTTTTAATGCTAGTGGGGGTTAAAATGGGCTGTTATTCCAATCGTGCTATGTCAGCAGATAAATTTGGTGAGAGAAGAGAGGGTAGGTCAACTCTCTGTAGCATAGGGATTTCCAGTCTGAATGCAAGCTGAGGCAAGCATCAACAGAGAGGGAGCAAGACACCTTTCCTCCTCATCATCTTCCTCCTCTAGGTGCTCAGGAGACAGCTATTGTTGTTGTTTGGAAGCAAAGAGTTGTTCTCTCATTCTTTACAGAGTAGCAGTTGTTGAGGCTGTTTCTTTCCAGAGCCAGCCTCTTTCGTACACTCTGCTGACAAATCCCTCTGGGCTCTTCAGGGTGAGGCAAGAGAGCGGAGAGCTCAGCCTGACCCACCCTGTGGACTACGAAAGTGAACACCATCTCTATCATCTCTTACTGAAAGCCATGGAAGTTGAGAGCACTCTCAGCAGTGTGACTGAGGTACATGAATCACTTTGCATCCTACCCACTGTCTCTGCAATCTTTGTTAGTTTACTAGTGGAACCAGTTACACTGGTGGATAGCCTAGGACACTTGAGAGGATGTTGGGGAGGAAGGGGACCTTATAGAACAGGAAGAAAGCTGAGGTCTGACTTAGGTTCAGATCTACGCTCTGCAAATACCTTTTGTTATTTCTTTTTGGCTTCGCCTCCCATCTGCTTGGAACTGGAGAAGAAAATAATTCTTTGCGATACAGGAATAGTGTAAGAAAAATAGTATTGGAGGTGTAAGGATGGGAGAGCAAAAGCACTGACTGCCATGGCAGTGTCTAGAACAAGGTGCCCATTTTCTGAAGTGTAGAAGCTAAAATCTCCTCTCAGCATGTCCTTTTGTCTCAGGTCATGGTCCATATCACCGATGAAAATGACTGTTCTCCTGAATTCCAGCGCTCCATTTACAGCAGAGACAATGTTCCCGAAACCATTCCTGTTGGCACATCTCTACTGCAAGGTGAGGACCATTCCACTGCCTTTCATTTCAGTCTTGCCACAGACCTGCTAGTTTGTTCCATTTTCATGTTCTTGCCATGAGGAAGTGCTCACTGCCTTTGTAAGACGTGGATGGCAGCTTTCCTGGAGGTAATAGATGGCTTTTAGATATCCTGGAAATAGAGTTGTGAGTGTCTTCCTGTGAGGATCACTGTGATGTGCCCAAGGAAGGCTCTTGTGGTACTCAAGAGACATTAAAGCAGCTGATAGGCAGTGACTTAGTGGATTGCCATAGCTTGTTTCTTTTAAATGTTGTAGCTGTCTTTCAACTAATCTTGGTAACCTTTTTGTGTCCCAGACACAGCTGCAACTAGTTAAGAAAAAAAGTGTTGAGGAAAATAATTTTTTTTTAGATAGGCAGATAGTTTTATCAAATAGGTATTAATGCTGTATAACTGACTTGCAAAGTGTTAAAAGAGAAAACTTTGGAAAGCCTGTGAACTTTTATTTATGATTGTGGCTTAACAGTCATCATCCCACATTTGCTGTGTTTAACACAGCTGAGTGATACTTGCGCATAAAACCTGAGTGCACAGATGACACTTAGAGGCTAGAACACTATCCTGCTGAAAGATCAGAGCTTTTGGAAATAACTTTAGCTCTAAGTTCCGCAAAAATCTTCAAGGAAATACCATGGTTGCACAAATAAAGAGTGAATTTGGGTGATGTTGCATCTCTTGTGTCAGTCCTGAGAGATCAACAGGCAGGGAACAAAAGCCCATTCTCCAGCCTGTTTTACTGGTGTCAGTTAAATGCCTTCAAGATGTCTAAAGATCTGAGGTAGTCTGATGTGTTGTGATACATGCCATAGCTGTATACTGCCTGAAACAGGGAGAACACTTACAGGTCCATTGTCAGCGTTCAAACTGAAAGGAGGGGCAGGTACTGGGGTAGTAATGGGAAGACAGGCTGAGACCTTGAGGGTTATGAACTGTGTGAAAATGGGTATGTGTCAAGGTAAGACTTAGTAAAAATTTACATGTCTAACATGTCTTCTGAAGCCAGTAATGTAAATTTCTTAAATTTGGAGCTTAAGTCTGCAGGTTGCAGTGGTGATAAGAAACTTAGCTTCCTTGTATAAGGGGGCTGCAGGGTCTGATTTCTCTAATGCTTACCAAGAGAGTTCAGAGCTTCTTGTACTTCATTTTTTGGTTTAATGGCTCTTGGGAAACAAGAAGTTGATCAGGATGATCAACTCCTAAAATTCCTAAGCATGTGATTTTCCTTAAAGAGATGAATGCTCTTCTCTTCAGGAAACTTGTAAAGCTGATCAAAATGCTCTTAGTTGTGGGGAGAAAATGTGTGCACGACGTCCAAAGCAAGCAGAATGGCAAAGCTGTGCATTTGCATCCCATTTTGTTGTCTTGCCACATGTGCAAGTTTTCAAGAGAAAGAACCATCTTAGAAAAGAAAATGTGAGGTGGAAGTATAGTGACAGTCAGTGGAAATGAGTGTATGAACATTCGCTTGCTGTTGAAGGGCTGGGCAGGGTTGTTAGTGGCTGCAAGGAAGCTGTATGGGCAGTCACCTGTACCCTGTGCTGGATGAGACCTGTGCCACTAACTCTGACTGCCAAAAAAAAATATTATCTCAGGGGTAAAAAAAAACCCGAACAGCTCTTACCCTGGATGTAGTTCCTGGAGGGGTAGGATTTTGCAACCTCAGAATGTCTCACAAACAAAAATAAATACAAATATGAGACAGCCTTTGCCATTCTGGGCATGTGTGAGTTGCTGTTGATGGCAGTGAAGAAGGTAGTGTGATATGTGGCATTTGTTAAAACTGTTAGTAATGTAAATGTAGGTTTTAATTGTCAACCATTTTTATTTTAGCACACTTGAAGTCTGGCTTGTATCTTGTTTGTAGTGCAGATGCTATGCTGAGCCAATCCATCTACTTAGTCATTGTGGGCAGGTTTGTGCTCACTGTGTGTGCTTTAAGATTTCTGGATGCAAACACGCTATCTTGAGAAAAGCATGGAGGGGTGTTCTCAGCAGGGATTAGTGTACTCCTTCAGTCTCATCACTATGCCAGCAGAACAAGGCTTAGAGTTGGAGCTGGCAACTTTGTACTAACACATGAGGCTTTGAGCTGGAGCTAGCTTGCAATAAGCTAGTTCAGAACACAGGCAAAGCCAGCACAGACCTGCTTGTGGCTGCTATATGATCCTCAAAATATCTTTGCAATGCACATCAGTTTGCAGGATGGAATTAAATGGAATGGGAATAGAATTCCCAGTCGCTATTTGGAAGTAAGGCTTGTTCTTGTCATGTACAAGTAAGTATCACATTCCCTATTTCCCAGAAAACATCTGGGTGAAAGGAAGTATGATAATTAAGCACATAAAATATATTTTTGTGTATGGTTACAATGGCTCACTAATGACTGTAGACTAAATCAGAACTTTTCAACTCAAATATGTCTTTCTAAAAACAATACTTAACCAGATTTAAGTCACAGTCATTTCAAACTTTCTCGAGTTTTTAATATATTTTGTCTTTCAGTACAGCAAGAGAGTGATCAACTCTAAAGCCCCTTATTTTGTAATCTGTAACACACACAAACGTTTACACAGAGGGATTTGGAGAGATTTTAAACAAAGTGTTACAACCCCCCTAAATGTCCTTGTACACAAAGATGAGTAACTTTCCACAGGCAGATGCAGCTGAAGTTTTTTGCAAATAAATAGAATAGTATTTGTGTACTTTTGAAATCTTTCTCTCCCCATTTCCTATTTTGAGTTAATATTCTGATAGAGACAGGTTGTTTTTTCATCTGTGGATGATGCTGCAGCTCCCTGCCAGGGTGTCCACTTCCAGAAATCTGTGTGCTACTGCAGTGGCTGCATCCTCCTGGTAGAATAAGGAGTTTGTTTAATACCAGTGGGGGTATGATGTGAAGCCTCCTGTTTGGCTAGAAAAATTGCAGGGTAATTGGAGATGTGAGCTCCCACTCTTAAAAATCACATTTGATGCCATGCTGTGAGCCCTAGCTCTTTGTTCTGCTGATTTGCTGCTTCTGAGCAGATGGGACACCCAACATACTGAATAAACACTTACTGGGGAGGAATGTTTAATCGCTCTTTGTACCTTGAAGCACCGGGTAATTAAAAAGTACTTTATCTGTAACATAGCTGGAAGCTAATTAAATTTGAACGGCATCCCCAGAGACAGTGACTACACAGTTTATGACTGATAATATTCAACCAACGTGCATATTGATTGTGTGGTAATTAGAAGTGTTGACTGCTGTTTGTACAAAACATGTTGTGCAGTATTGAGATCACAGCTCTTTTGCAAACTCACCTGGCTGTGATCACTCAGGCTATGTTGAAGGGGATGGAAGAATTGTTTTGATTTTTTACTCCCAGCCTCCTGCTAAGCTCCCAGACTCTAATCATTAAAAAGAGACTTTTATGGATGAAACAGGTGATGCCTGTTCTCAAAAACAAAGAGTTGACTTTATAGGAAATAGCATAACCAAACCTCTTTTACAGTATGACTAGTCTGTTAAATGTGTTCTCTTTAGTACTTGCAACAGACTGCGACTCTGGCTCCAACTCTGAGATCACTTACTTCATCCAGAGCACTGATTTTTCCATCACGCATCACGGGGTCATCAATTCTAATCAGAGGCTGAACTTTGAGCGAGCAAACCATATGTATGAGTTTGTGGTGATAGCTGTTGATAAAGGACACCCTCCTCGGACAGGGACGGCGTCCGTGCGGATTCGAATGGCCAACGTGAATGATGAGGCTCCTGTCTTCTCCCAGCCTGTGTAAGGCTTCGTGAACTCCTGCTTTGGGTTTAAAAGATGCTGTTCATATGTGTAACCTTAATAATACTTGGCTAAACGATCACTTGTTGTTTTGTGCAACTATAAGTACCACTGAAATTGAAGGGTAATTTCTATATAGAGAGGCTTTGGTAGTTGGACTTTCATTTCCAGATTGTATTAAAAAAAAATACACCAGTTGTGATATCAGTATATTCACTTTATACTTACAGAGAGAGAACAGAATAAATCCGAGACCTGATTATGCAGGGAATGATTTTGATGACGTTGACTTCTAGATCTCTAAATGATTATCCATGTATAAATAGATGACAGATAACAATGGTAGTTAGCAAACACTAAAACTTAACTTTACCATCAACAGATTGTATTGTAAACTAATTTCATGAGGCCTTGCTTGTTTAAGATGCCTCTTTCTTTCCTGTCTATAATCAATACAATTTCTATTCTTTGCACAGCTTTCAAGTATGGACATTTTTTTAAATACAAAACATACATATATTTAATTACAAAACATCAATTTACATTCATCTCTGTAGTATCTACTGCTTTCCATTAATATATAGGGACATAAAAAACACATTATGACAGACGTCCTTTTTCTCAGCTTTAGGAGGTATGTGATCCTGATTTGCAGCACATTGTAGTATGGTGCATATTGATATCTTCCAAAAGATCTTTGGAATTTATGTATACTAAAAGTGCAGGATTGCAATCCTAAAGTAAGTACCCTATGCTGAACAAAGAAGACCAAAGTCGCATCTTAAACCAATTAAAGATTTCATGAATACATGTCCAAAGCTTGAAAAAACCCCACATTCATACTGAATGTATAATTTTGTCTAATGCTTACCATGGCAATGGTTCATCTGATACTGTACATGCTGCCATTGCTCCTGTATGTCCATCAGTTACAGAACCTTCCTTTCGGAAGATGCGGGTCCCAGCACCTTAGTGGCTACTGTTCGGGCAGAGGACCCTGATGGAGATGGTCTGCTGTATCTGATTACAGGAGGCAATGAGGAGGGCAACTTTGAACTGGATAGCCAGAAAGGTAAGGAAAGAGGTTTTAGAAAACAGTTATTTACCGTCTAATCTCTGTTGACTCTGCTTCTCCTGTATGTCAAAAACCATAAGAAAGCACCATATTCGTATAATCTGCAATTGGGAATACTTCGTATCAGTGAGGATTAGTTCTTTGATATGATGGCTGTTATACAGCTATCAGCCAAAACCTAGGATCCTGGCCCAATGCTGTGCAGACTAGGATGATGGATTCCCATGCTTTGCAACCAAAATACAAACTGAACCAACAATACAGTGGCAGAGAAATGTGATGCTCGTTCATTTTGTATGTTTACTCCCTAAATTAAAATGACGCTTTATGCTTCCAAATTTAGGTATCATTAAGCTCCGCAGAAACCCACCACCCAATCTGAAAGGGCCACAATACACCCTGAACATCACTGCAATAGATGACAACGCCTCAGGGGGACCCACCCCTCTCAGCAGTTTTGCTGAGGTTATTGTAGGAGTTAACGACATTAATAACAACAAGCCTGTCTTCAGAGAGGTAAGATGTTTTTCTACAGATACTCTTTTCCCATTCGTAACTGGAGTTCTAGACTCTCCTTAGCTACTGGTGATTTCTGGCGGGCTGAAGGGACTGTGTGTGCAGAGCAGAATGAACTTGTAAGTGAACAGCAGTCAGCTTTCTTCATACAGAAAATGTAAAGTCTCCATTCTCCCTTTTTCCTTCCTCTCCCTTAGAGATTTATTTCTTTGTAAGTATAAGTAATAATAGTAATTTTCTTCTGAGTTTTTCTCAGGCCTGCTGAAAAAAAAAACATTTCATGTGGCTCCGTGTAATATTTAGGGTCAGATATTTGGGTGTATTTTTAGTGCGCTTACTACAGTGACAGCACCTGGGTTTTGGAGAATCAGCCTCCAGGCACATACGTGCTACAGGTAGAAGCCTATGATGCAGACCTTGGCGTCAATGGAGAGGTGAAGTATGGGCTAATGCACCGAGACGGAGCTTCCCTAGGCTTCAGCATTGACCCAGACACAGGTCAGTAGCTTCGGGTTGCTGAGATAAAATGAAAATGACATTTTTTTTGTAATGAAAATGCCACTGTATGAGTGTGTTCATGTGGGCTCATGCTTTAGCAGCGTAACTGCAGGGTTGGCTGTAACAGTTTATAGGGTAAACCCTTGGTAATGTTCAGAGTATAAGGTTAGCCATGCACACAGATTAGATTAAATTAAGGTTGTAATGATTCAAATCATTAGAAGCATGGAATGGTTTGGCTTGGAAGAGATCTGAAAGATCATCTAGTTCCAATGCCCCTGCCATGGGCAAGGACACCTTCCATTAGACCAGATTGCTCAAAGCACCATCCAACCTGGCCTGGAACACTTCCAGGAGTGGGGCACCTACAGCATCTCTGGGCAAACTGTGCCAGTGCCTCACCATGCTCACAGTAAAGAATTTCATCCTAGTCTCCCTCAGCTGAAAGCCATTACCCTTTGTCCTATCACTACATGCCCACAGAACCTCTCCAGCTCTCATGTAGGTTCCCTTTAGGTACTGGAAGGCTGCTATAAGGTCTCCATGGAGCCTTATCCAGGCTGAAAAATCACAACTCAGTCTGTTTTCATAGGAGAGATACTCCAGCCCTCTGATCATCTTCATGTCCCTCTTCTGGACTCATTCCAACAGGTCCACTTCCTTCTTATGTTGGGGACCCCAAATGCAAATTCCGGTTCAATAAGCAGATAAAAACCTGTCACTTACCTCCCTATTGGATCAAGTGTAGCTATGAAAGTGCAGAGCAGAAAGTGTGATTTGAACAGTCTGAGTTTGTTCTTCCCTTCCATATGGCCACAGTTTATTTCTCATCTCATGCACAAATAGGAGATCCAGTGCAGTGCAGGCAAAACCCTCATACCAAAACACGGCAGCGATGTCTTGATGTATGATGTATTTCAAATGACAAAGTCATAAATTTTGTTGAAGTTTCTACAGTTAAAACAGTAAAATTTGGTACTGGCATGTCCAGGACTGTACAGGACACCGAAAGGGCCTACAATAGAGCTGCAGACCTCTGGACCTGAGCATAGTAGACATGTAAGTCTGGAACTGATCTCAGGAAGGCCAGTTTGAAGTCTGTTAACCAGAAGAAAATAGTAGAGACAAGGAGAGACTTGATTACTAGGGAGAAAAAGTGGAAAATTTGGAGAAAATTGTTTGATTTATCCATGGAACTATGTGACTGATAGAGCTGCCCAATTTTAATTTGTTTAATGAGACAGCCTCCAACTCCTGTAGTAGAGATGACTTTGGCCACATCACTTTTGCCTTCTGTGGTGCGACTCTTCCTCAAAGCAGTAATGAGCTGATTCAGTTACTTGACTATCATTGGAATAAACCTAAGAGAGACCTTTTGATGAGAAGGAGAAAGCCCTTCTGTGCTCCAAGAGCCATGAGATCACAAGGTGCTCATACTGAAGCTCCTTATCAGGGCAGCAGGAAAGAAAGCTGTTGCCTGCTGGCAGCAGGTGACATATGAGGAGAGGAGAGATGGGAGAATTGGATTTGGTCTTGTCCAAGATGTGCATTGCAGGGTTGGTGTGAATTAAGCTTGACAATTGTGTTGCATGTGGTCAGAGCTTCCTCTTGTGCAGGAGATGTGCAGATCCCTCTCTGCAAATTCAGTCCCAAGGCTCCGACATGCAGAACAGGGAGTGTCTGTGTTCCCAGGAGTCATCAGAACCATGCAGAGTTTTGACCGGGAGAAGCAGAGGGAGTATATGCTGTCTGTTACTGCTACTGACCAGGCACAGGAGCCGCTGATCGGCGTGTGTCAGATCACCGTCCTCATCGCTGACATCAACGACAACGATCCCAAGTTTGAGAACAGTCGCTATCAATGTGAGTGTTGCTTAATTACCTGTCCCAGTACTGCCGCGTGAGCCTGGTTAGTAGTTCCTTATAGCAGTGGTCAGTTTTTCAGGTGACCAGTCTTCCTCTGTTACCCACTAAGCCGGGCACTGCTTAAACCATCACCAGTGCAAATGCACAGAATTGATCAGTCCTCTTTATTCATTGCAGTTCTCAAAAACATTGACTGTCTTCACTCCTAGAGATGAAGCAGATCTGATCCCTTCCCTTTGCAGCTTTTCCCAGCCCAGCTTTTCTCCACGCTGAATCTTTATTTTATGTTCCAAAACAAAACATGACATCCTAGCTGGGAATTCATCAACCCTGACTAGAAGTACAATTGTCATCTGTGTCTCTTTACCACAGCACCTCTGCTTGAATAGGCTGAAGTGGCATTTATCTCTTGTCAAATAGCCTGCAATCCTTGGTTTCTAGGCTGCCTTTGGTTGGGAGCCCCTTATGCCGCCTGTAACTGTACTGCTGAGCTAGCCTCTCCCATTTACCCTGGTGACATTCCCTTTTTCATCCCCACACAATGTGCTTTTCATTTGTCTTTCATTTAACTTGACTTGATGCTTCTCCAGTAGAATCCTGCACTTCATTACACTCGGACCCTCTAATGTCATCCACAAATTATGGGCATACTCTCTAGCTGTTGGACTAGAACAGGCCCTTCCTTGCATAATTGCCTCAAAATGGCAAAAAATTGATGATGAATGTGACAACTCCATTTTGTAGATGTTTGCAAGCTGCGTGGAAATGTCATGGAGGGTAAAGTGGTGACCAATGCCTTACTAAAATGAAGGTGGCTCACAAGTAAGTTGTCTTCAGCATCACAGAGGCCAGTATCTTAGCGGGGTTCAAAAACAGATTGGATGTTTGACAAGGAGGAGAAGTGACCTGCTAAGAAATAGGCAAAATATACATCCACACTTCAGAGTTATGCAGAGGGACAGAAAGAAAATTGTGTTGCATCTTTTAGAGTATTTTGCAGAGACTAACTCCAAGTGCCAAATTGCTTAAAATGTGCAGATTGGGAATAGCCATTTCTACATTCCTACCAGTGTTTTCTGCAAGCCTGGCCAAAGCAGCACTGAGAAATCAAGTAGAAATGATCTCTGAGAAATATTTTTGAGCAGAGCAGACAAGTCACTGAGGTAAAGACAATGTTTGTGCAAAGATGAACCTTTCTCTACTACTGTCAATTGTCCTTCGGTGAAACTGCCAATATTTTTACTTCAAAAGCTGTGAAGCTGAGAAGTTGCATTTGGTAACTATGATCAATTCAGCACTTCTGAGGAATGGGCAGATTTTCTTTCTTTTTCCATGAATACAGGATACCAGCAAAGGTCCTGAAGCAAAGGCAGCACTTTGAGATGGCGAAACTGCAGATAATGAGGTCACTTTATGCATAGCATTTTGCCAGCATCTATACATAAGTAATCAATGCTTGTACGTCACAGAATTAAAAATAGCTCCTTCTCTAACAAGATCAAATGCCATTAGTCAGAGGTTTCTATTCATTCTGGAAACTGCTGGTTCTTTATTCCTCAGCACTAGGATGTTGGTCAAATCCCTGATTTAGCCATGCATCTTATCATCTGCCTGCAAAACAGACATTAAAGAAGTGCTTAACTCCCTGTAGTAGGGATGGTGTAGTAAATGTTAGTTACGCCAGCAGCAAGCAAAGCACATGAAATGAGAGAGTACAGCCCTTTCAAGTAATTTTGTATTTTTTCTTACAGTGCAATTTAACAGAATTTGACTGTTAAACACAGCATAAACACACAAAGAGTGGTATTTTACAGTGTTTCTTCGCAATTAATTCAATTTTCATGAATCTATTTTAGTGCTGGTAATCTCTTCTGAGATTAGCTTTAGCTGTTACTGACATACCAGGGACAAGAATCCTAGGACAGTTAAATGACACAGGGGCTAAGAGTAGTTTATTGTTGTTCATGAAGAAAGTAGTTGTTGTGGTTTAAAGTTTTACTGCTCCACTGCCACAGATTGTAGATATTAAGGGAGAAAGCCAAAACAGAAAACATGACCGCTCCACTTTAAGTAGTATGCAGCTCTGATTGTCCCACCTCAAAAATGCTAAAGGAGACACATACAAGGGAGATCAAAGATATGAAACAGTTTCTGAGCAAGCTATGATTAAATAGACTGACTGGGTTGTCTAAACCCAACTGCATGAGCCTTCACCCTGTCAGGACCATTTCAATACACTGAGCTGATGGAACCTTAGTACATGGAAACAGCTCGAAACCATGACCAGGCAAGCACCCATAGCTGCTTGGAGAAGGAATTGGGACTGGATGGCTGAGAATGGAGGGAAGAACAAGACCAAGTCAGATCAGAGCAGTATAAAAATGGGAGTGTGGAAGAAAGACAACCAGCAGGGATGCAATAGCTTCATATGAAGTTGTACCTTGCAGAGTGGAGTAGGAACTGACTGCTCATGAATTTTGTTGATGTCCCTTCCAGGAATCAGGCTTTAGGAAGAGAAACTTAATTACTCTTTTGTGCAATGAACACTTCAAATGTGCGACTCTTTGCCACCAGATTTTTAGATACAAGCAAGTCCAAAGAAGGAACGGTCTGCCTAGAACTGTGGGCACAAAGACATGATCTCTATGTCAGCTGTATTGCTGGGAATAGGGAGTAAGACCTAAAGAAAGAGATAGGTATAAAGTGATCATTGCCCTTGCCCTGGGGGCTTCGCCAAAACACTGGGATGTTGGAGGCCTCTTTGGCATGACCTGAGTCTTCATGCTTTGTGATTACCTACAGCCTCTCATTGGCAGTGCTGCTGCCACCACTCACATTCAGGATTAATTCAATTCACACAGAATTCCTTTTGATGCCAACCTGACTTTATCATCAGCTGGGCATAGCAGCCTGGGCTGTGATCCGAAGCAGCAGGCATGCAACCAGCTGTGGAGTTTGCCAGCACTGCTGTGGAGACGCACAAGTGCTGGCAGCAGCAGTGTCAGTAAATCTGCATCACCAGCAGCTCGCTTAACAACCCAGCATGGCTGGGGAGAGGGACAGGGAAGTTAAAAGAGGACTTCAGACACTCTGTTGGTGACAATACCTCGTAACCTCCCTCATTGCAGAAACATTTAATCTGCCATGAATAGGACTATGTTTTACAAGGGTATTTCTTTACGCACACAGCCTTGTAAACTAGATCAGACCTGCTGACACTACCTTTGTCTTTTCAAAGACTTCCTTAGCGAAGACACTCCAGTGGGGATGAGTTTCCTCCGTGTTGCAGCTCACGACAGTGACCAGGGTGTGAATGCTGCTGTCACATACTCGATGTTAGAGCATCAAGTGGAATACTTCCAGATCAACCCCAGCACAGGTTGGGTGTACGTGAACTGCCCACTACCCCAGGTAATATGAGACTCTGCTTGGAACAGAGCAACCTCCAACCCCTCAAATCCATTGCAGATCCATTAATTGCAATCTCCTGGTTTGTACAAAATGGTTTGCAGATATCGTCTGATTTCTTTGTTTCGTAGACAACTCGCATTAGGCGCTATATTGTAGCGACAGATGGCGGGAACAGGAGCAGCACCGTGGAGCTGACGGTCACTGTCACTAATGCACTCAGCCAGCCACCACGGTGGGAACAGAACAGATACTGGGTAACCATCCCTGAAAACACCATTCGTGACACCAAGATATTGGTATGTTAAAAATGTGATTACTTCCCTCCCTCTTCATTTCAACTTCTTCCTCTGTTTTGTTCTGCCCACTCTTCAACCTTACTCAATTGCAGTTCCTTTATCCACCTTCACTGCTGTGTGTCCTGTTAGAGTTTGTGAGGAGCACCTGTTGCAGAATAGGCTGGCATTTCAGCTGGCAGCAGTGTTCCCAGTGATTTACTTACACCAATGGCCACCAGGATGTGCTCCCACAGAAGCAAAACCTGTGCCCTGCCAGTGTGGGAAATCCTTGGGTGTTCCCACCGAGGGCCAGCTCCTCCATCCTCCATCCTCAGTGGCCTGTGTTACCTGCCTGCCTCTTTCCTGCAGCTTTTCTTATTCAGCACTAGAGCATAGAATGACTGTAATTTGCTTTGGGCTTTTTTTAACTCAAATCAATTCCTTTTTAACCCATACAGACTTACTCTTTAAGGACAGTGTCTTCCATAAATTGCCAGATAATTCCTGCCTTCCTCCTCCTGCATGTAATATCCAAGCAGTTGCAAACAATTTAGGTTCTTTTCCTGTAACGTGATGGGTAATATGTACAACTCGATGGAGAAATGGTCTCCTTTTGGATCGCTTTTTCTTTGGAAGGAGGAGAAAGAAGGGATTTCCTTTAGCCAGTGGTGCAATTCTTGCTTGGTGCACTTACAGGCAGGTAAATTTCTTGTTGATTAAAGACCTGCATTGAACCTAAATGTTGTAAAATGAATCTCAGCTCTGTAAACTCTTTCTCTTTTATCTGTTATCCAAGTCATATAAGCGTGTATGTTCTTGGAGGACATATGTGCATGTGTGTTCTTGCCATCAAACTGAACATGTAACATTTGCAATCCTGTGCTTCATGAACATATGTCGTGGCTCTTTTCTTCTTCAGACCATCAAAGCCACATCCCCTCTTGGTGATCCCAGGGTTACGTATAATCTGGAGGAGGGTCAAGTTCCAGAGACTAACATGCCAGTTCGTTTCTATCTGAAGCCAAACAGAGCTGATGGATCTGCTTCTCTCCTAGTCGCTGAACCACTTGACTTTGAGACAACTAAGTTTTTCACCCTGACAGTCCGGGCACAAAATGTAGCAATGACTCCTTTAGCTTCCTTTGCCACTGTTTGTGTGAACGTAACAGGTAAGCTTTGCTGTTATTAGAACAGCTTATTCAGAACAATATTCTTGTAATTTTTAGTATAATGTCATGAATTAAGGTAACATCTATGAAATGCCAAGCCACCTAAGAAGGTTTTGTACATTTCTGTACTGTAAAAGGTTGTGCACTCATCAGAAGGATCTATTTGAGATGATTTCTAAGTACCACCATCAAATGTGGAAATGTGGTAGTGCAAAAATGGGCTGTTTGAATGTTTAGACAACTGGTTCTATAAATCTAATTAGAAAGAATTTCTTTTGATAGGAGGAGAAATCTAGTACTTGTTCCCAAGCTATTGAAAGGAAATGAGTATTACTGGAAATAGTCTGTGCTACTGAAACAGTATAGTTAGGCTGGGCTTGTGTTGGATGTCTGTTTAGGGTTTTTTGTTACATACAGAATTTTCTATTGCACACTGAGATTAAAGCTCTAGAAACAAAATTGTGAGGGTCTTCACAATAGGTGCAATATTCAAAAATTTAATCCTTATAGTAGCATCTTTTGGTAAGGCTCTACTCCTGTAGATCCACATAAAACTATAAATCTGATATTAACCCCTGCTTTTTGAAGCATTAGTGGAGTTACTTTTGATAGTAGATGAAAATATGAATAAGTGAAGTCCACCTGGTCAGTGCCGCTTTGTAGTTTATGGATCCTATCTCAAAAAGTTTTTCCTCTAGCGCAGTTATTGGTATTAGAATTTGTCAGAAAATTCATTTTATTTACCAGTAAAAATCCTTTTTGAGTAACTTAGTATTTTGTACAAAAAAGTCTTTACACATGTACATATAAATTAGTGGGAGAACAAAGCAAGTTAAACAACTTTGAGAGAAATAACCACCAGAAAATGTCATATGCAGAATTGTCCTTTATTTATGCACAAGTACACAGAAAAGGAAGGTTTTTGTATCATCTTATTTTTCTTATCTTGCTCAGTGAATTTGCTGAAACATTTCTCTAACAAGAAATATTCTCTTCTGTAAAATAGGGGAAAATAAATAGACTTTTAGAATAGAAGTTTCCACGGGCAATTATGCACATAAGAGAGAAAGAAAATTGGGATTTATGGGAGCCCACACTGACAACTTAAAAAAAAATTAAGACACTCATCCTGCAAATAGATGTTAGAATCAACGGAATCACGTGGCAGTAGTAAAACAAAATGTGTGCTTTAGGGTTTGCAGAATGAGATATTAAATTTTTGTCTGCCCTTGACAAAGAGAGATGGAGCCAAGGAACTGTCATTACAGCTCCTCTGTCTTGGCACTATGCCACGACACAGGAAAATTACTTCCTTCTAATCTGGCTGTTAAACTGTGAGAGGTGCAAAAAGATATAGGGGACTGTGCAGCATTTCTGAGTTTAGTCACCTTACAGACAAAGAGGAACCTGGACCGATTTGCCATGGGTTCAGCAGGAGGATGTGATTCCAGTGCAGTTTAAACGCATCTGAGTCAGTGCTGCCGTGGTTCTCTTGCGTGTCCCTTGTGCTCATCTTGTCCGACACAGCAGTTTTATGGAGAAAATGTGCCAGAAACTGGCCCTCCAAAATACTGGGCATGCCTTTTCGGTTTGGGTCTCCACAAGGGTCAGGTAAGGAAGACAAGCAAGACCAGCACTGATATGAGCTTAACATGGCTTTGCCTTGTGTGTAATCTGACCTGACTGCAGGTCGCCACTATCAGATCAGCCCATCCTTTCCCTCACCTGCATAATTTCATTACATCCCTTGCATTGGATCTGATGATCACAGAGCTGCAGAGCGTGTCAGGTCACAATTAGCCTTTTCTCTCAAGAAATTTAGTCTCACTCAGAGCAACCAAATGAGCACTTTCAACACAGGGCCACATGATCCAGTTCATGGGAAGGGGGATCCCATGGTTTAGAGCAGGATGACAGGAGTGGAAAGATCAGCATGCTTTCTTTGGACATTGGCCAGTAGTTAGATGAGGGGAGGCTAATGTGCAATTGCACCCTAAATAATCATTAGGTCCTATAGCCTAACATAACACTGCCTATACCACCCTGACAAGGCCAGGAAACACATTCTTTGACTACTCTATAGAGTCTGCAATTTTAATTTTCTCTGTATGTTAATCTTATTAAAATACTGAAATTACCTACTGCTGTAGATAACCAGCTCTTTACAGACTGGTCCTGGTCCTGGCATTCATGGACTTAGTGTAAGAATATTGCTGGTCAAATCCTTAGCTAGTATCTTAGCTGAGATTAGGCCACTATCTCCCAGAAGCTGCTCAATGTCTTTAAAAATGCCTCCTGTCAGCTACCACAAGAATGGGAAGACCCAAAGTAGGATTGTTTCTTGCTATGAACAACGTGAGTTCTTTCTCCAAGTAAAATGTAACTGCAGGGGGAAAAAAATCAGCACATTAAAACAAAGTCTTCAAATATTTTCTTATCATGATCTTCATCACCTCCTTTTGCAGATGTCAATGATAATGTTCCATTCTTCATGTCTTCTAACTATGAGGTGTCTGTGCCAGAAGGAGCTGATGTTGGCACATCAGTGGTTCAGGTGTTAGCCTCGGACTTGGATTCTGGCCTACATGGAGAGGTTTGACCTTACATCCAGTTCTTTTCCTCCCGATTGTCAAGTTTTAGTATTGTAATTAGTGAGAATGTGTAGCCAACAGATGACAGGATAATGAGCCACCAACACTTCTTACAGCACTTGTCAAGCATTTGTCTAGCATGTGCCTGATGTGCATAATTTGGGAGGCAGGCAGAGAAGATGCTGTTCACTGTCTTCAGATCCTTCATCATAGCATCTAATCGTGATCCAGCAACCATGATAAAGCACTGCTGCATGACTTGCAGGGTTGCTCCTGTGACAAGACAAGTGGATGTGGCTGCAGGCAATGTTTCCAAACTCTTGCCTCTTCAGCTCATTTTTTAATTGATTGTCAGTGATTGTTGTCAGTTATTCCCTGCCATTTAAATATGACCAATTAAAAAGCATTTTATTTTATCATCATTGGTCAAATGGTTGGTCAAACCAACATTTGACTATTATTGTCATAATGACCCAACCCTAGGAAAAAGCAGAATTCTGAAAGAAATTGCTCATTTTCTGTGTATTTTTTGAGTCATTTCCAAAAATGTTACTAGCTCTTCTGTGAAGAAACTCTGGCTAGTGGAGATCTGCTGTTCTTGAACTGTCATTTTGCAACATCTGAAGAGCAACCTGAGGGAGAACTGGTGGTGCTCTGGGCATGACTTGGGGGTGGGGATGGAAATGTTTTTCTTTTCAGAGAGCAAATATTATTAAAGGCAAAAATGTGGATAACTTTCATCAGTGGAAGTTTTCATTTATTCAGTCCTGTTGAACAGGACCCAAATTATCAGTTAGCTCCAATTTTTTTTTTTTTTTTAATCAAAATCATGGTGGATTGCTAGAAGCTGAGGAGACACCAGGGAAGATGTCATTCCATACCTTTTGTTCCCTGTTACTCATGGTCTTTCTTAACTGCTCCTACTGGTCCCTGTTGGAGGTTGGATACTGGGCTTGATGGGCCTTGATATCACCTCTTCAGGTGTTCTTCTGTCTGAAAGTTATGGGGTTTTTATATAAAAATGAGCAAAAGACTTAGAAAATCATATTCACATGATCTGGCCTTCCTCAGAGTGTTGCTACTTTACAGACAGAACCAGAAGGCTGCTGAGGAAGGGGAGGTCACAACACTTGGACATATAAACGAAAATCAAAAATATTAACTTCTCTTAACTATTTCCTTTTTAGGTTCACTACTTAATATTGAAAGATTCTAATGAGGATTACCAGTTCTTCACCATTGAACCTGAGACAGGAATTATTTCCACCCGTGCATCTTTTGACAGAGAGAAAAGAGCCTCTTACTTGATTGAAGTTCAGTCTCAGGACTCTTCAGAATCTGCTAGACCTGGTGTTCATGGGCAGCCCAACACAGGTAAAACTAGTAAGGAATTCTGTATTGGTTAAAAGATATCAGAGATTGAGTTCTTTAACTTTTATAGACTTGGGGGGTCTGTGAGCTGTCTGGGATAACACGAGGTATTCCACCTCTGCCATTTCTAGTCTGCATGTTCCTCTTGCATCTCCTTCTCAGACACAGCCTACGTAAGGATTTTTGTCAGTGATGTGAATGACAACGCTCCGGCATTTCCTCGGTCAGCGTATGAGGTCAGCGTAGATGAGGACAAGGATGTTGGAAGTCCTGTTGTGACAGCAATAGCAGATGATGAAGATGAGGGTGAGTGGACCTTGCATATCTTTTCAAGTCCTTAGTGTTAATTTGTGCTGTGCGTAGGGCTACTTCCTTCATGGGCAAACAAATCTCTGCATCCAGGAGATGATTACAGATTTCAAGCATTTTTAAAAGTGAGAAGTTCTGGGCACATGTGAGCATTTTCTTTTATTAGGTGCTCAGGTTTTCACTGCAAAGGTTAAGCTAACTGGCAATCTCTTTGGGACAGAGTGAAATCACCTGGAATCACAGTGCTGCTGTAACTTCATAATAGGTAACATAAAAACCCACTCCTGAGCATGTGCTTGCTTTTTGCCAGATCCTGTGCTTTCTAGATCTTTCTGGAAGTCAATTTTACTTACTATCATTGTAAGAAAACCAGACCTGTGCGTTTTTTGATGATTTAGTGAATATGGTGAATTAGTTAAATATGCTTGTGGAAGAATCTGACAAACAATGGATAATCTGGGATGACATGGTCAGAAATGAAGTCAGGAAGGAAAGGAAAGCCAGACTTTCTGTTTGGGCTCACACTGACATTGGCTACGATGGTGTGAAACTGCCCCTACAGATGGGCTGACCCAGTCCAACAGCATATACCATCAGTCAGTCCCTGACTTTGCTTCTGCTGTGGCTTTTTTGCTACTTTCATGAGCTGGGCCAGTAAAATTTGCTCAAGAAAAGCAAACTCATTGAAAAAAAGAAGGCAAGCTGATGACAGAGTCCAAATGAGAACCAGAGGAACATGTTCCCGGGAGCAGATGGGAGCTGGTCATTCCTTCCACTGGCAGTGCTGTAATGCCTGTGCCTCCTAGTGCCCACAAGGGAGATGTTAAGAGGCCATTTGAAACCAATCGCTGCATTTGGGAGAATTTGACAAAAGTGAGTAGAAGTGATGCTCAAACTCTTGCTGCAAAGGCAGCCAAGCTCTTCCAAGCAGTAATGTTAAGCACAGCCTTTTCACTTTCCTACCATACATTGGTTGCTCTAGTCTTCTCATCCACAGCTGACTATAACTTGAAATGCTTGAATGTTCTTTCTACTCCTAGCAGTTTGCCTTTTTAATTTGGGAAATGATTTTCTATATTGGAATGCAATGTCACATATTTTTTACCTTTTCAAATAAGTAAACAGGAAGTACTAAACAATTTGTTGTTATTGTTGTTCCTAAAAGTTTTGCAACAATCAAACAGCTGCTGTTGTACAGGTGGAATGTTCTTCTGAGATGAATTCTTGCTCAAAACAGAGGACTTCTGTTATATTTTAGCACCACCCAGTGGTTTAAAAAAAAATTAAGGAATATTGGAGTTTGAAATGAAGCTTAGGAAACATTGAGTAAAAGTAGCTTCTAGTATTTTAATAGTATGTTACTTTTTTGTTATTGGCAAATGAATGAACAATAAATTAGAGGTATACAATTCCTTCATTATCAATCAACAGATGCTTGTCCATGTCTGCAAATATATATAAATGCAGACATAACCCACAATCTACCACACACAAACCCTTCAGATTACATACACATATCATTTTGTTTGTGGCTGTGTCTGTTTTATCCCACACACACTATAACAGTCCAGGCAAATAAGGTTGCTCTTGGATATGTGTCCACTGTACATAGCTGGATTAAGCATTCATAGGGTGAACAGGCAGCAGTTGTTTCTTTCTCTTGTAGGTGCAAATGCCAAACTAAGGTATCAGATCACATCAGGAAATCTGAAAGGAGTTTTTGATGTGGAGCCTGAGATTGGAACTGTCTTCATTGCTCAGCCTCTGGATTATGAACAAGAACAACATTATGAGCTCAGGCTTGTAGCTTCTGATGGAAAATGGGAAAATCACACTCTTATCGTCATCAATGTTGTCAATAAGAATGATGAAGCACCAGTCTTCACTCAGAATGAGTACCAGGGTGGTGTCTTGGAGGAGCTCACAGATCTGCCTGTACTTGTCCTAAAGGTAAAGCAGTTTGCACAAAGCAGGGCAAAACCTGACTTTGTGTTCAGCTCAATCCCATCCATTCATACAAAACCAAAAAGATAATTTCTTCAGGGTAGGTGAAGCCTACCTGATATTAGGACTTAGCTAGCAACTTTCTGTAAAGAACAGAATAAAGAATTTGCATGGTGGACTTGCCGTCTTGATCAAGATAAATAACAGTTGGATGTGATGATTTTAAGGATCTGTTCCAACCTAATTCTAAAATTCTGTGATTCTAAATGCTGAAAAATGTGATGGCTTTCCTTCACAAAGCAGAGTTGGCATATTTTGAGTGACTGTATAAGCATAGCATGATTGGCACGTGTGCCTCCTGCATGTAACGCATACTACCAAATAAACATTACCAGGGATTGGGTTTTGACTCCAACTCAATAATTTTCATTGTTTTGCTGTTAGAGCAGTTCCTGGCTGGCCCAACTAGCAGTGTCACAAATAATCCCTGGATGCAAATCAGGAGCTGGGAGTTCTCTCTGGCCTGTGCTGCTCATCAGCTTGGATGTACAGCCTGTTTTCACAGCCTTCTGTTTGCTCAGAGAGAAAGAGCCCCTGCTTGTCTTTGTATTACAGATCCAAAGAGTTTCACAAGAAACATTTGCTCATCAGATCTGCTGTTATTTCCACTTGATTCTTCCTACAGTTATTTCCTCTTTCCAAAATATACTGGGAAATAGAATATATTAATCTGTCTAAATGTCATCTTTTTGTTTCCCTAGGTGTGCATGATGTTTATTGAAAGAGTACTTGAATGATGCAAACCAATAGATGCTTGCTGTTAAAATGCATGGTATTTATTTAGCCAGCACAATACCAGCTGCCATCAATAAGAGAACAGTGATTTTCTCTTTTCTTTTACATAAACACTACCCTGCTGTGGCTTGTTCCAGGTTTCCGCAACAGACCCTGACCAAGCAGCAGATCAAAATGCCATTAACTATTCCCTGCATGGGCAGGGGGCCAGTAGTGAATTCAGCATCAATGAGAACACAGGTGAGATCAGCGCAAATAAAAGGTTAGACCGTGAGAAGAGATCAACGTGGCGCTTTCTTGTTCTTGCAACAGATGAGAGTGGAGAAGGACTGACTGGCTTTGCAGATGTGATCATAGAAGTGAGGGATGTGAATGACAACGCACCCCTTTTCCTCTGTGTGTTGGATGGCTGTTTCACGGGCCACGTCCCTGAGGATGCACCAGCTGACAGTCCTGTCATGGAAATGACAGCAGTGGACCTTGATGACCCGAAGGCTGGTATGAATGCTGTGCTAACATACAGTATCATTCAGAACGTCAAAAATGAAATTAATCTGGACTTGTTCTCAATTGACTCAGTCAGTGGCACGATCTGTACTGTGCTTGGGTCCCTGGACCGGGAGAAGGAAGACAAGTACCTCATAGTGGTTGAGGCCAGAGATGGAGGAGGGCTCACTGGGACAGGCACTGCCACTATATTGGTGACTGATGTAAATGATCATGCTCCAGTCTTCCTGCAAAGGATTTACACAGCCTTTGTATCTGAGAATGCGAGCATTAACACTGAAGTGGCAGTGGTGTCTACTGTGGACAGAGACGAAGGAGAAAATGCCATGGTGACATTCAGCATCCTTGATGGGGACAATGACCACAAGTTTTCCATTGAGACAGATGAAGTCAACAACTGTGGGTTTATCCGGCTGCGAAAACAGGTTGACTTTGAGAAGCCTCATGAGAGGGTATTCAATTTGACTGTGAAAGCAGAGGACATGAATTTCTTCAGCATTGCTTACTGCGTGATCTATGTGGAGGATTCAAATGATCATGCTCCTGTCTTCTACCCTCAGTTCTATGAAGTGGTTGCCCTGGGGGAAGACGTGCCGGTTGGCACCAAAGTTGTGCAGGTTTCTGCTGTTGACTTGGATTCTGGCCTGAACGGAAGGTTTTCTTTCCACCTGCTACATAAGTCTGACCCAGGTGGCCAATTCTCTTTGGCTAATGATGGGTGGCTGATGGTTGCAGGGCTGCTGGATCACGAGACAGTGACACAGTACCAACTCATTGTCATTGCCACTGATATGGGGCAGCCCCCTCTGACTGGCAGTGCCACTGTTTTAGTGACTCTGCAGGATGTAAATGACAATGGGCCAGAGTTTGAGGCTCATTATAACCCAGTGGTCTGGGAAAACACAGCTTCTCCACAGGTTGTCCAAATGAACGAGACCTCCACGCTGCTGTATGCAAAGGACCGAGACACTCCTGCGAATGGAGCACCTTTCTCCTTTCGCCTTCTCGGCGATTTTGATAGTCTGACTAACTTCAACTTGCAGGACTTCCACAATGGAAGTGCACTGCTCACTGCACTGCATACCTTTGACAGAGAAGTGGACAAGGCATTTTACCTGCCCATCCTGATCACAGACAGCGGGATCCCACCGATGAGCTCCACCAACACACTGACTGTGAATATTGGGGACCAAAATGACCACCCACACTCTGCTGGCCACATGGAATGTCTCATTTACAGCTATGATGGTAAATTACTCCCTGATGTTTGCTTCAAAGTGTGACAGTAAGATCAAAAGAGGCGGCTATGAGTTTTACAACAGGATTCTGTCCTGTTCCACATAAGCTAAGATCTTAGTAGAGATGCTACTGAAGTTTGCTTAAAGCCCAATGAAGAGCAGTAGGTGTGTAGAGTAGGACTCTGGACCACTTGATTTGTGGAAGAAACCGAGCCAGCCTTGAAGGAAGAGCGTAACTGGCTGCTATTCTTTACATGTTTCTATCAGACTTGAGTAATGATCTCTGGGTTTCAGGTGCAGTTTTCCAGCAGCATTAACTTTTCAGGGGAAAAAAATGACCAAAGTTCATAATATTGCTGAAAAGAGATGAGTGTGAATGCTGAGAACCTTCTTTCTCCTCCTTAAGACTTTTTCCTCCTGCAGACTGAACTGAGTTTTTGTGAATACACTTAAGCTGAACGCACATGTAAACTGCCTGAGACATTCATCTTAAGTCTTCGGCTGACAAATGCTGTTATGGTGGAATGTTCTGTGAATGCTGGCTGCAGGCAGTGTAAGAGAAGCATCTTTCCCTTCTTGTTTTGGCAATTAGTCAGCAGTTTTCTTGTGATCCAGTGTGCCCACATAATAAGCCCAAGAGCAAAATAAATCACACAGGTAAAAAGATTTTGGGGTGCTTGCATCCATGTTGGTTCAGGTCATTCCTTCCTCTTCTAGTCTGCTGTGTATCCTGTGGTTCGATAGCACATTAAATAGATTATCTTTTGTGGACACACTAGAAGCTTGTGAGTAGATGCTGTTGACCTTTTCTTAGAAATAGATTTT